TGGTCAATTCAACCCACTACAAGAGTGCTCTGACTTCCAAGCTTCAACTGCTTGGGATGAAAAGGTAGTTATTAAAGATAGAAAAGAGCCTCTGGAGCCTTTGATCTTCATATTTTACTATGTTTCAGAGAAGCCAATGTGGAGCTGGCCTTGGTGGGTGCTGCTTAATGGTGTCTCTGGTTTCACACGGCCCAGGCTTATTCTCATCAGTTCTGGTGCTTTTGAGATGTAGTTTGCCTTAGTTTGTTTTCTTTTAGTTATTTGTTTGTCACCCAGAAAGAGGGGAAAATAAGTGTGGCATGGCATACTGTTCTTGAAAATATATAAGGAAATTATTCCAAAGAGTAATTGTTAGAGTATGTCCTGTTTGAAGCTTTTTGCCTTACATTTTGGGAAAATAGACACTAATTTAAAATTTTTGATTGGTGGCTTATGCCGATAACATTATAAAAGGAGGTGGATGGTATTGAGAGGTTTGGGTATACATTTAGACTTCTTTTTTCTTATTATGCTTTAGTGATCATAAAGACACCAGAAGCTTGTATATTGTTGGAAGTATTATTATATTTTGAATCTGGATTTCATGATATATCTTCGCTGATGTTTATGTGAATTCTTTCTGAATGTTTTTCCTTTTTCTTGTTAATGGTTGCTTAAGTCTGTTTTCTTATTTCTTTTGGAGTTTTCTTGTCATTTGAGATAAAAAATGGATAGCATCTGGCTTTGCTATTTACTTGTAATCTTTAATGATTTAATGCTCTCAAGTTTATCTACTCTCAATGTAAGGGAGTAGTGGAGTTTGAGACTTGTGACCCCGATGTTCTTCACACTTGAAGCATGTGTCTTTATTTGTTTGCTATGGATGGCCTAGGCTCTGCCTTTCTTCTTGAATCTTGCTGTGGGGCAAAGCTCAAGGCTGAGTTTATTGTCAAGAGTATGTTATTTATGTTGTCATGTGCTGCTTCGAATAGCATATATGCCTTTCCTCCGTTCTTGTGCAGAATTTATCGTTTTTCTTCACTGATCTTGAGTTCACATGATTATTTTTGATTGCTCATGTCAACGTGCTGCTTGTTGGTTTTAGGTTTTGGAAAGGAAAGATGCAGCAGGTGATGGATATCCATCGACCATCTTTCAAGGGTAGTATTCCATCCTTCATTAAGAGTAATTAAAATTTGTTTTCGAAGTCATCTACTACTGTTATCTCATAACCGTTAATTTGCTTGCCAACTCATTTTTGACATACTAGTTGACTTGACCATCTATTTCTTCATAATGCTTTTTGTTCATTTGTTGCGTATACTTGATGTTTAAATTTTTGGCAGTACCTAAAACTGGTATAAATTTGTAACTTCATGTCAGATCTGCACTTCAGCTGTCAGAGAATCTTTAACCAATGTAAGCCAGAGCTTAATGCTGACTCATGCCTTGAATCTGCTTTTACGAGAATAAGTTTCGTTGTGTTCGTATCAACACACTGAAGATCAAGGTTCTAAGTATTACGTATGTGTTCATGTTTTGACTGCCTTTTCGGCACAGGTTTTTGGGGACAATTTTAATTATTTCGCGAGAACTTTGAGAATCGTTTGGGAGCACATTGAGGACTTCTAGATTGATTATGAATCATCCACCAAGAAGGAGGATACCACCTAAAAAATCACCGTATCTATTTGGATTTGCCTTCTAATGAAGCGGGTTGCTCAAGCAATTCTGAGCTTCATGATTGTCACTCGGAAACTACTGCCTACTATTGCAACTGAATATATTGACCACCCCTGAAGTAACCTGAACAACAACAGCAAGTTTTATTTATGAGACTTGTATCATGATCAAAACACCAACTGGCTTGTGCCTCTTCAGCTCATTAGATTCTGCAATCAATAGAACGGTCTGAGTACGATGGAAAAATCTGTTATAGAACAAGTCCGTTCGAATGACCTCAAGGCATTGGAGCTTGGTCTTGTAATGAAAAGATTGAAGTTAAAGAGGCCAGTGGCTCTCAACCATGATTCAAATCATTGGAGAGGTCAAAATTAGCTGTGGGTATATCCAAGGCATCCTTAAAGCTGAAAAATTCAAAAATCATTAGAAGACATGAGACATGGTGAGCTGCTTAAAAGTGCATCGACTGTCTTGTAGCCGGTATAGTCCTCATGTCAGCTTCCCTTTCTTATGCCGCTTATGTTTTTTCATACAAAAAGATTTCTGAAGCTACTGCAGCCTGTGCGCCTTTACAAAAGTAACGACCGTGCTTATTTAGGCCTCAATAATTTTCATACAAAACCTGCATTATTTTTGTTCTTGACAGAATATATGATACGCTTTTATTTGTTTCGGAATCCAAGTCTTGGATGCCGAATACAGTGTCATCGTTTAATTCAGGGCTGCATACCATTAAGTGCCAAGTTCAGGTTATGAGCCGAATGATATTTGGTTTTCTAATGATTCTCGCAATAGCTTACTTGCTCTCCAGCGTTCGGCCACTTCAAGACAGACAATGCCTATCACTTTTATCCTTTGCTCTTGGGAGCTGCCTGTGGTTTTGCCGGCAACTTTGCGTAGACACTCTGGGTGGAAGTGGATTAAAAAAAATATAATAAGGGTTTTATGTAGCATTTATATGGGACAATTATGTTGGTATCACAAATCAAATCAAATCAACTTTTTGAATTGTGCCTATTATTCACAAGGGACAGTTCTAATAAGATTTAATGGCCTAGAAATGGTCTTGAAAGTTTGTAAAATTCTTGAATGTGATGGAGAAGAATCTTGGAGTTCAGTGAAGTGAACTTAAAAGTAATTAAAGAGATAGAGCAAAGTGAAGCATATGTCCTTCGCTTTTCCAAGCTTTTTAAAGTATGCATGTCCATTGGTGAATAATTATCTTATTTTTGAAAATAAAAATACCCACATAAGGAAAAAATTGTATAATGACATACATGCATCCACCAACCAATGAGAAAGTGACACAACAACACACGTAAAATATACTATGTATTTGTTAGTTGGATATACGTGCACATGTTACACCTATAATTTTTTTAACTCTTAACTACATGAAGATCAGAAAATTTCTACGAAAGAAAAAAAAAATGGGTTTAACGTTACATATGATATAGTTTTATTATTTACAATTTGTTATAGAATAAAATTCAGTTTTACCCTAATTCTGATTGACCAAAAATTATAATTAGAAATAACTATCATATCTCGCATAACTAATGATTGTTGGTTTGAACTAATTATAAATAGTAAGTTGTCTTAATTAAATAAAACATGTTTCAAAACAGAGATATGTACATAAACAGTTAAACGAACTACACGAATATTGAAAAAAAGAAAAAGTTTGGAAAACTTTTCCACTTTCGTTTGGTCCAAAAGTGTTTTTTTTTTTGAAAGCAAACCTCACCAAACGAACAAAGTATTCCCCATATAGAAATTCCATGGGACAAAAGGTCCCCTAACATTATTGTTCAAATATTCATGCCTAGATTTTGTTTTCATATCCAATTTTTTTAGTCACTTTTTTCCTTTCAAGATTCCTCACTTCTTAAACCATCCTTTTGTAAATTAATTGGAATTCTGCAAGTGCTTGTTTCTTTCCTTTTCTGTCCCCATCAAACCGCCTTTCCACCTTTTTATATATTGACCTCTTTCCCCTCACTCTTCTTTGCTTATAAGTTCACATTTCCCCTACACAGGATTCTTCATCAAACACTTAGAAAACCAAAAAAAAAACATTACAAAAACATATCAAACGTTTGATAAAAACACTGATTTTTTCTTCAACTTCTGATCACTTCGATGACTGGAAAGCGAAACCAATCGAGCCCGATTGGTAGCCCGTCGTCGGGGAACATCTCCGACAGCTCCTTGAAGGAGCATGATCGGTTTCTGCCTATTGCGAATGTGAGTAGGATCATGAAAAAGGCCCTACCCGCCAATGCGAAAATCTCCAAGGAAGCTAAAGATACTGTCCAAGAATGTGTTTCCGAGTTCATTAGCTTCATCACTGGGGAGGCCTCAGACAAGTGCCAAAGAGAGAAGCGGAAGACCATCAATGGCGACGATCTTTTGTGGGCGATGACAACGTTAGGGTTCGAGAATTACGTTGGAACCTTGAAGACTTACCTCAACAAATATCGAGAAACCGAAGGTGAAAAAAACTTGATGCCTCGACAAGATGATCATCATCAAACTCTCGTCACCAGCATGAACCACGAAGAAATTCATAAAATGAATGGTTCTTTATCAGTTTCAAAGGCAGATTTTCAGAATTTTAACATGGGATTTTACTCCCTTGGGGCACAAGCAGCTGCAAAAAGTATTGGAGAGGGCACAAGGGTGATCAGCTACGGAGAAAATTTGGGCACAGAAGGCTTTAATTTCAGCAGGATTCACCATGAAAATGGAGAAGGAAACGGAAACAGAGCAGCCTTGGCAGCTGCTCATGTTCATGGAGGAGTTGAATGGTAGAGATTTTGGAAAGAAATAATTAATACCAGCAATTTTTATATTAATATATGTGTAAGTTGATTTCTTGTTGCTCCTGTTTAATGATTTAACAATAATTTTTATATATAAGTATACCTATTATTATTATTCTTTAGTTCAAAGTAAATTTTAGATTAATCTTATATTATTTCGTTGNTGTTTTTTGAAAGCAAACCTCACCAAACAAACAAAGTAATCCCCATATAGAAATTCCATGGGACAAAAGGTCCCCTAACATTATTTGTTCAAATATTCATGCCTAGATTTTGTTTTCATATCCAATTTTTTTGGTCACTTTTTTCCTTTCAAGATTCCTCACTTCTTAAACCATCCTTTTGTAAATTAATTGGAATTCTGCAAGTGCTTGTTTCTTTCCTTTTCTGTCCCCATCAAACCGCCTCTCCACCTTTTCATATATTGACCTCTTTCCCCTCACTCTTCTTTGCTTATAAGTTCACATTTTCCCTACACTGGATTCTTCATCAAACACTTAGAAAACCAAAAAAAAAAACATTACAAAAACATATCAAACGTTTGATAAAAACACTGATTTTTTCTTCAACTTCTGATCACTTCGATGACTGGAAAGCGAAACCAATCGAGCCCGATTGGCAGCCCGTCGTCGGGGAACATCTCCGACAGCTCCTCGAAGGAGCATGATCGGTTTCTGCCTATTGCGAATGTGAGTAGGATCATGAAAAAGGCCTTACCCGCCAATGCGAAAATCTCCAAGGAAGCTAAAGATACTGTCCAAGAATGTGTTTCCGAGTTCATTAGCTTCATCACTGGGGAGGCCTCAGACAAGTGCCAAAGAGAGAAGCGGAAGACCATCAATGGCGACGATCTTTTGTGGGCGATGACAACGTTAGGGTTCGAGAATTACGTTGGAACCTTGAAGACTTACCTCAACAAATATCGAGAAACCGAAGGTGAAAAAAACTTGATGCCTCGACAAGATGATCATCATCAAACTCTCGTCACCAGCATGAACCACGAAGAAATTCATAAAATGAATGGTTCTTTATCAGTTTCAAAGGCAGATTTTCAGAATTTTAACATGGGATTTTACTCCCTTGGGGCACAAGCAGCTGCAAAAAGTATTGGAGAGGGCACAAGGGTGATCAGCTACGGAGAAAATTTGGGCACAGAAGGGTTTAATTTCAGCAGGATTCACCATGAAAATGGAGAAGGAAATGGAAACAGAGCAGCCTTGGCAGCTGCTCATGTTCATGGAGGAGTTGATTGGTAGAGATTTTGGAAAGAAATAATTAATACCAGCAATTTTTATATTAATATATGTGTAAGTTGATTTCTTGTTGCTCCTGTTTAATGATTTAACAATAATTTTTATATATAAGTATACCTATTATTATTATTCTTTAGTTCAAAGTAAATTTTAGATTAATCTTATATTATTTCGTTTTGTGTTAGAATATATATAAATAGAAACTTATTTATTAGAATTAGTCGATCCGATTTTACCCAAAACCGAAAAAAAGTAAAAGAAGTTCTTCACACACATATATATAATCGAACTTTGAATCTGCCAACAATAACGATTCAAAAAATAGACATATAACATGGGTGACCAAATGACAAATAAACAAACACATGGTGTTGTTGACCTAAAACTCGAACTTAAGATATGTTTTTTTTTTTTCTCGGTGAAAGCGTTGAGATTTCCCACACTTAGATGTATGAGACTAATTTTCGATCGTGGTTTGGGTAAATGTCTCTGACTACAAATTACTTTCAATGAAATTCACATCTCTGACATTCTAAGTAAAGTTTGTCTACAAGAATCCAATTACCAACTAGACCACAACTCATATCTAGCTTAAAATATTTTAAAACTCAAATCATATGTTGGTAATAAAAAAATAATAGAAGTCCATTAATTTTTTTTAAGATATGCATAAGCGATTTCTTTTCTACTCTCTTTTTTTTAGGGGATGAGGTTAGTATAAGATATTAGAATAATCAGCATACATTGCACATGGACAACAAGATTAATATTAGTATCTATTATTGGAGAATTAAATTATAGTATGTTTATTATCATTAAATAAATAAACTTAAAAGGTTTTAAAATTTAAAAAAAAAAATTGTTTCACAAATAATTTGAAAATAGTAAAGATAAAATTTAAATTTAAAATTATATTTCAATAATCTTATTATCTTAAAACATGTTCGATGTAATATTTAAAAATAATTTGAAATTAAACTATATGCTTCTAGGAGTATCAATTTTTTTTCATTTTCTGATATTATACACACCCACTTTCAAAAAACAAATCATTTAAAAAAATATTTCAATTTATAACTTTTATTTCAAAAATAAAAAAGTAAAAATTTTCATTTTCTGATATTATACACACCCACTTTCAAAAAACAAATCATTTAAAAAAATATTTCAATTTATAACTTTTATTTCAAAAATAAAAAAGTAAAAAACTATATATTCGAATTCTACATCAATTAAATTCTCTTAGTTGTAAAGTTTGACCAAATTCATTGATTTTTATTTCAATTTCTAATTCTCTCCCACATATTTACATGACTTTTTTCAAATTCAGCCCACTTGATTTTGTTTTCTTTTATGGACACCCCTGCGCCTTCACCTCCCTCTCCTTCTTCTCCACAGCATCACCCATCCACTGCCCCCGTCTCCGCCGAAAACCCGCCGAACCCGCTTCCCTCTGACCCGAATCCAACGGCTTGTAACTCCGCTTCGTCCTCAAAGCCCCTCAACCGTGGAAAAAACAAGAAGAAAAGACTTAACAAAGATGTACCATCATCCTCTTCTTGTTCCTTATGTTCTACCAGCAAAGGCAAGGGATTGGCGTTCAGACGACGCAACGTTAAGTTCCGGGCGGGTCAGGTTCGAAGGCCGAGCGAGGGGACTGAGATAGAGGCTATTGCTCTTCCTCTTGGAATGTCGTTTGCCGCTGTTGTTGCTCAGGTAAGTTAAAGGCTTTTTATTTTTTTTTTTTTTTGGGGGGGGGGGGGGGTGTGGGGGAACTTTGTTGGTTGTCTCGGTGTTTTTCTGAGGTGGGAAAGTTTGAATTTTGATGAATGGTTATATGATTGGTTTATCCATAGTGTCAAAGGTTGAGTCTTTGTGTTGTTTTGGGGTTTGTGGGATTTTATTATGATTTTAATGGTTGTCGAAAGTGGGTGCAATGTGGTTGTTTCATTGTTGATCTTTATGAATAGTTATTGATAGGGTTTTGGTTCTTGCTTGTTGATTAAGTTGGTCTTGCACTTTCTGTGAATTGTAATTGGAGACTTTTCAGTAACTTTTCTCCTTTATATTGATTGTTGGGCTCTTTTTTAAACTTTATATGCTTTTAAAATTTGATTCTTGTGAAATATACCTTATTTTTGACAATGCAACTTCAAGAATGTGGTTAGAGTACTTTTTTTTAAGCTGCTTTGAAAATTAGTTTATGAAATTGAGAGTGTAAAGCATGGAAGAAAGAAAATGTTGATGGTACATGTGTTAGAAAGAAAGCTTATGGTGTTTGATTTGCAAGAGATTGTGGGGGTGTAGTTGTGGGAGTGACATAGTAATTGTACTTTCAGTTGAAGGGAAAAAGGATGAGGAACACCTTCAACTTGAAGGTGATGGTCAATTCAACCCACTACAAGAGTGCTCTGAACTTCCAAGCTTCAACTGCTTGGGATGAAAAGGTAGTTATTAAAGATAGAAGAAGAGCCTCTGGAGCCTTTGATCTTCATAATTTACTATGTTTCAGAGAAGCCAATGTGGAGCTGGCCTTGGTGGGTGCTGCTTAATGGTGTCTCTGGTTTCACACGGCCCAGGCTTATTCTCATCAGGTTCTGGTGCTTTTGAGATGTAGTTTGCCTTAGTTTGTTTTCTTTTAGTTATTTGTTTGTCAGCCCAGAGAGAGGGGAAAATAAGTGGTGCATGGCATACTGTTCTTGAAAATATATAAGGAAATTATTCCAAATGAGTAATTGTTAAGAGATATGCCTGTTTGAAGCTTTTTGCCTTACATTTTGGGAAAATAGACACTAATTTAAAATTTTTGATTGGTGGCTTATGCCGATAACATTTATAAAAGGAGGTGGATGGTATTGAGAGGTTTGGGTATACATTTAGAACTATCTTTTTTCTTTATTATGCTTTAGTGGATCATAAAGACACCAGAAGCTTGTATTAATGTTGGAAGTGATTATTATATTTTGAATCTGGATTTCATGATATATCTTCGCTGATGTTTAATGTGAATTCTTATATTTTGTACTTTCTAACTAAAATCATTGAAATGTGGGTTTTTCCTTTTTTCTTGTTAATGGTTGTCTTAAGTCTGTTTATCTTTATTTCTTTTGGAGTTTTCTTGTCATTTATGAGATAAAAAATGGATAGCATCTGGCTTTGCTATTTACTTGTAATCTTTAATGATTTAATGCTCATCAAGTTTATCTACTCCTCAATGTAAGGGAAGTAGTGGAGTTTGAGACTTGTGACCCCGATGTTCTTCACACTTTGAAGCATGTGTCTTTATTTGTTTGCTATGGATGGCCTAGGCTCTGGCCTTTCTTCTTGAATCTTGCTGTGGGGCAAAGCTCAAGGTCTGAGTTTTATTGTCAAGAGTATGTTATTTATGGTTGTCATGTGCTGCTTCAGAATAGCATATATGTCTTTCCTCCGTTCTTGTGCAGAAATTTATCGTGTTTCTTCACTGATCTTGAGTTCACATGATTATTTTTTGATTGCTCATGTCAACGTGCTGCTTGTTGGTTTTAGGTTTTGGAAAGGAAAGATGCAGCAGGTGATAGGATATCCATCGACCATCTTTCAAGGGTAGTATTCCATCCTTCATTAAGAGTAATTAAAATTTGTTTTCGAAGTCATCTACTACTGTTATCTCATAACCGTTAATTTGCTTGCCAACTCATTTTTGACATACTAGTTGACCTTGACCTATCTATTTCTTCATAAAGCTTTTTGTTCAATTTGTTTGCGTATACTTGATGTTTAAAATTTTTGGCAGTACCTAAAACTGGTATAAATTTGTTAACTTCATTGCAGATCTGCACTTCAGCTGTCAGAGAATCTTTAACCAATGTAAGCCAGAGCTTAAATGCTGACTCATGCCTTGAATCTGCTTTTACGAAATAAGTTTCGTTGTGTTCGTATCAACAGCACTGAAGATCAAGGTTCTAAAGTATTACGTATGTGTTCATTGTTTTGACTGCCTTTTCGGCAACAGGTTTTTGGGGACAATTTTAATTATTTCGCGAGGAACTTTGAGAAATCGTTTGGGAGCACATTGAGGACTCTTAGATTGATTAATGAATCATCCACCAAGAAGGAAGGATACCACCTAAAAAATCACCGTGTATCTAATTTGGATTTGCCTTCTAATGAAGCGGGTTGCTCAAGCAATTCTGAGCTTCATGATTGTCACTCGGAAACAGACTTGCCTACTATTGCAACTGAAGATATATTGACCACCCCTGAAGTAGAACCTGAACAAACAACAGCAAGTTTTATTTATAAGGAACTTGTACTGCATGATCAAAACAACCAACTGGCTTGTGCCTCTTCAAGCTCATTAGATTCTGCAATCAATAAGAACGTGCTGAGTACGATGGAAAAATCTGTTATAGAACAAGTCCGTTCGAATGACCTCAAGGCATTGGAGCTTGGTCTTGTAATGAAAAGATTGAAGTTGAAAGAGGCCCAGTTGGCTCTCAACCATGATTCAAATCATTTGGAGAGGTCAAAATTAGCTGTGGGTATATCCAAGGCATCCTTTAAAGCTGAAAAATTCAAAAATCAATTAGAAGACATGAGACATGGTGAGCTGCTTAAAAAGTGCATCGACTGTCTTGTAGCCGGTATAGTCCTCATGTCAGCTTCCCTTTCTTATGCCGCTTATGTTTTTTCATACAAAAAGATTTCTGAAGCTACTGCAGCCTGTGCGCCTTTACAAAAGGTAACGACCGTGCTTATTTAGGGCCTCAATAATTTTCATACAAAACCTGCATTATTTTTTGTTCTTGACAGAATATATGATACGCTTTTATTTGTTTCAGGAATCCAAGTCTTGGTGGATGCCGAATACAGTGTCATCGTTTAATTCAGGGCTGCATACCATTAAGTGCCAAGTTCAGGTTATGAGCCGAATGATATTTGGTTTTCTAATGATTCTCGCAATAGCTTACTTGCTTCTCCAGCGTTCGGCCACTTCAAGACAGACAATGCCTATCACTTTTATCCTTTTGCTCTTGGGAGCTGCCTGTGGTTTTGCCGGCAAGCTTTGCGTAGACACTCTGGGTGGAAGTGGATATTACTGGCTCATATGTTGGGAGATTCTCTGCTCGCTGCATTTCTTCGCAAATGTCTGTACATCACCATTGTTCATTATCCTTCATGGGCCTGTCGACATTTCCCAAGGGATGAAAGGCAAGACAGTGGTTCCATACTGGGCACGTAGATCTGTGTTCTATGCTACTCTTCTTCTGTTCTTACCACTAATCTGTGGCCTTATGCCTTTTGCAACCCTTAATGAATGGAAGGATCACTTCTCAGTACTAATCTTAGACTCTCAATCATCATCGATAGACGATTAATGCTACAGTTTTGAGCGTCGTATTAGTCACTGATTCCTTGTGTCATCGAGTTACTGTTATTGACTATTGGTGTAAATTACTCTTGTATTTTATGTCAAGCTGCTCCGGTGTTGTATTTGCCCTGAATAATTTTCTGTAGCTGCAGCTTGGTTTATTTATCTCTTGTATCAGTAATTTTAGGTGTCTCAACCGGAACGAGTCTGGCGATAATGTAAATTAATTTCTTTTACCTGGAAAAGGCAGAGGTAGAATTTTCAATCACAGTTGATGTTTATTGCTATGTCTAAGGATGTGTTTTTGCAGTGACAATGTTGTTATGTTACAGTCATTATAGTTCATAAAAGCAAACATTGTCTCTTGTATCATTATCATTTGTATTCTCCCCCCGCGAGCTATCACTAAGTATCAAATTTCTAAATTATTAAAAAAAAAAAAAATTAATAGGCTCTGTTTGTTTCGCTCTTCAAAATGTTATTTTTGGTTTTCCCAATAAAGTTAAACAGTAAAATTGGCTTATTCTCAAAATATTATTCTATATTATTCAATTTCTTTTAAACTCCCTAAATTTGTTAATTTAATTAAACACTCTTAATTTTTTTTTTAGAAATTATAAAAATACCCCAACAACCCGCATTTATCATATTCTGGCCATCACTGCGTGAAGCTGGTCAGAATCTGATGTAATGGCGCACTACCGACTGAATCTGTCTAGTAGTGCACCGATCTAGCCTTTTCTGGTCAGATCCACTGTGGATCTGGCCGGAAAAGCTAGATCTACAACCAAAGATCTGGTTGGAAAAGGTCAGATCTTTGGCCATAGATAGTCGTCAACGACGGTCAAAATATGGTCGTCATTGACCATCAATGACGACCGTATCTTTGGCCATCGTTGACGACCAAATGCAGTAAGATCTGGCCGTCAATGGCCGGATCTAGCAGTAGATATGGTCTTTTTTGGCCAGATCCATTGTGGGTCTGACTGAAAAAAGCCATATCGACGCACGACCGGTAAGATCCAGTTGGTCATGCGCTGATATAACGACTCGGAGGGTGGTGGCCTGTTGTCCGTATTTAATGGATGGGTTGGAAGTATTTTTGTTAGCTTTTAATATTTTATTATAGGGGTATTTAGTAAATAAACAAACATATCAAGTATTTTTATTAATTTTCAAATTCTACATCGTAATACCCACCCAATTTAACTTTTTTTTAAAATATTATTCTAAAAAGTATATAAATAATGAACCAAACAGACCCTTAGTATTTCATCGGATTTTGGTGCTCAATGTAACGGATTAAAAAGTGGGAAACTATTATCTAATGATACGTGGGATGAGATACCATGAAGAAAAAAAAATATTTACGTGGCATTATTTACATTTTTTATATTTTTGTTTTTAGAAAGAAATCAAAATGAAAATAACAAATTTGATTTTGCATTTTCAAATTTTGAAAATGTGTTCGTTATCATTTATATTAAGAATAATATTTGAAAATTAAAACAGTAAAAATATGTTTGTTATTATTTTCTTATAAATATATTATAATTAATGTTACACCCACAACCTCTGATAAAACTCATTATCATTATGAGCCAACTAATTATGAATTATTATATCGAAATTATGAAAAAAAATTTATGAAAAAAAGTTATAGATGTAACATCTTCTTATATTATATATATATAGATCCTTGTGATACAAAAAAAACAAAACAATAATATTTTGTTATTGTTTTCTTGCGATAAACATAAAATATAAAAAAAAAAAATTATGCAATGTATTTTCAGTTTTTAAGTCATTTATGATATTTTCTGCTTTCCACTCTAGAAAAAAGAAATTATAAATGAACAAGTGATACATTTTACAAGATAAAATGGAGAATAAAATAAAACAAAGAAAAAAAAAAAGTGAAATCAACGGTTTTAAATGAGTTGCCTAAACGATTATCAATGTTTTTTATTACATAAAATTATTAAATTGGTTCTACATTTCGTTAATGTTTGACAATCCAACTTCCATTCGTACAAAAAAGTTCCGAAACATGAAACTCCGAAGAAACTCAAGCAACGGGGAATTTCCACACCGGAAGCTAGAGAACTCATTCAAAAATTTTGACACCTCAACTCAACTACAGATCTTCCTCTATACTAACATGAATAACTAAATCAATTATCTGGAAACTCTACTACTGCAAGTTTACATGTCTTTGCCTGCAATACCTTGACTGATGCAGAAACGATGTGTCAGGGCACCAAGAGCATGCCCTGTAATTTGAGTGCATATGATGATCAAAATCATTGATTGAGCGATTCCCTCCTTTTGGAAGCAAAATCAGATTTCAAACATCTGTCGAATACAATTATGCAATGAGCTTGATTATAGAACCTCGTGAGCCTTTCCGTAATATCTGTTTATGAATGGAGCCTGCACAGAAAAGTTAGAATGCAGAAAAAGTATTAGCGGAAAAACCGTGTATTCATACAAACTGATATGACATTATTCTGATAATTTATTTTTAGCTTTCCCTCTTCTAGTTGCATCGTGCTAGAGCAAACTCCAAAAGCAAGAAATACTAAGATGACATCTGTGTCACTGTCTACTTCATGCACAAGATTCTTTTGTAAAGCAAGCTCAATAACACTTTCAAGAGACCCATCTTTCTACATTTATATTCCAATTTCAAGTTTTCTATAAAAAGGGCACAAGAGCTCCGACAAAATATGTACTTGACTCTACGCTTTATTAATACACGTAACAAGCTTCCTTCTTATGAACAATATAATAATAATGATAATGATAAAAACAATGTGTGTCAGTATACTGCTTAAAATATCTAGTTCTGGGAAATGATTGACCTGTATCTCAACAATTATTAGCCTAAAACCAAGATCTAGCAAATAGTGTCAATGCTGCTTTTAATGACCAAATGGCATAACAGAAACTCAAAGGACGTATGCATCAGATAAATATAAAGCAGTAGTCTTCAAGTTTTACCTTCACATTTGATATGTCTGGTGTATCGGGTGTTTGGACAGGATAGAACTTGTAAAACCTCATTTTGTCGAATGCTGCTTTAGTCTCTTCACTCATTTCCTCAATGGCTTTTTTTCGGGCTTCCCTTGCCTTAAAAAAAGAAGAAATTAGTAGAATTATTAGAGCATGTCTACAACAACAAATATCTGTTAAAAAAATACCTCTCGATTGGCTTTCTTGGCTTCTCGAACTTTCTCTTTTACAAACTCCTGAGAATGATAAGGAGGAAAAAAAAAAATCATTATTCACTCCAGATTATTTAAAAGCTAAATATTACTTTCACATCTTTCATTGTACTTCACCTTAAAGGCATCCTTTTGATCTTCAGTCAATGCCTCCTCCTTTACCAAATCGTCAGTGAACTCCTACAAATTTATAGATAAATTTAGTAAAATAAATAAATTCTTCTTTTTTCCACTCTCTCTCTCTTTCTTTTTGTTGTGAAAAAGGGGGAGAGACATAGAGAGTAATGAAACAAAACAATATAGAGAAATCACACGAGAGCTAAATCCCATTCGAGCACAAATTGAAAAACCTATCCATATAAACTCATATTTAAGCCAATTAAATATAATTACAAGATGACTGCAAAAAGCTAGTTAAACATCAATCCCAGCAATCCCATTCGAGCACAAATTGAAAAACCTATCCATATAAACTCATATTTAAGCCAATTAAATATAATTACAAGATGACTGCAAAAAGCTAGTTAAACATCAATCCCAGCCAAAAGAAGTTGTTTTAAAATAACAAACCCCATATTTCAAGGAAACTTATATTGTCAAAAGGACCCCAATATTCGCGAGCTTTAAAGCTAATAATAGGCACAAACTTCAAATTCCATGTTATACTAGAACTTAAACTTTAAAAGACAATTTTATACCTCAAGTTCATCTAATTCCCAATCAAATGAACAAACAACCTGCAAGAATAAAAAAGAAAAATCAATCCAAACAATTACAACATCTTCCCAAATTATCAAATAAAATTAATCAACACAGTTTGTTAACAAATAACCAAGAGAACCCCTTTATATCAAAACTATGACCCTACCGGTGGTTCAAGTGGGTACATAATTTGAACCTCGGTACTTTGTTCAAATTCATCTTCTTTGAATGGCTGGTAGAAATCTGTCAACAAGAATATAAGGGTGTCAATTAAATAGTGTAGATCCACAAGCAATGGCAACAATATAAGATGGAACACCAACATGAGGTGTATGAGTGGACAGTCATTTTTCCTCCTTTTCAATCATGCACCCCACCCCACCCCACTCTTCCTAATCCACAAACTCAAATTAAGCAGATCCCCCTTCAAGGTTGGTATGAGAAGGATTTAATCCCCAGAGCTCTAACGAATTAAGCTAGCCCCTTGGGGGTAGTTGTCATTATTCCTCAATAGCCAATGAAAGTGAAAAATCTGATTATTGCCGCGTACAAAGCATCAATGATCATACACATAATTTTCACCATTATATGTGAGCAAGAGAATCTATTTTTTTTTTTCATTTATTACGTTTTGTCCTTTTTCTTGCCACAACTTACTTTTCAGGAAACAGAAAATAATTCTGTCTCTTATACTATGATTTGTTCTAAATCACTACAAAATTTATGTGCAACGCAGCAATGTTAACATAAAAATACAGCTCTAAAACTTACAAGGCAAGCAGTATTCATATTTCTTAAGGCGATCTAACTTCAAATGTCTCAAAGCACTCCTGCAAAAGGATTTCAAATGCATAAGTAAAAATAATAGAAACACACCTTCACATTTGCAATATATATATATATTTACCATCAGTAAACAACTTATCTGACATCTAACTAGTAACGTAACATAGACCATGCAACCTACAATTTATCAGATCATTTAATCTAATAAAACAAATTTGAAAAGTGCAAAGACAACTTTACCTTCTCTGAGTGCAGCCCAAGATATATATTTGAGATTTCAGCCTCTCTACTTGCCTGTCTCTGTAGAGGAATTAAATTATCCAATGATATCAAAATTTGTGAAATAATCTTAAAAATGAGTGAAGAGAACCATTTCTATAAAATCAATTCAAAAACAGAAGAAAAAGAAGTTCAATTGTAGATACCTTTTTTCTAGAGGTATATATGGAACCCAGTCCATTTTCATTTCCTTCATGGGAATAATTTCTTCAGCCTCTCTTTGAACTGAGTTAATCCCTATCTTATCAGAAGGTGGGAAAGGAGAAACAACCTACACAAATAAGAAAATATATGAATGGAGAAACTTGAAAACCCAGGAATAAAAATTGATTTTTGCAACGAATTAACATTCTAGAAGCAAATAAACTTACAGCCACCACCACAGGTATGCAGATGAGTTTGTTCTCCCCCTTGTATGGGACCAATTGAGCTGCAGGACGAGAAAACTTAATAAAAGGGTAGCATAAAGAATTCAATTAGCTTACTGTAAGTCAATCAAGGATAGACATCAGGTAAGCTGCCCTCAAAAGAGTTTCGTTTTCTTAGAATAAATTTTCTGTTCTCTCAACTACAAAAACTGTTTGGCTAACCCTTCCCCAAAAACAATCCATAAAAACTATCCTTGAAACACCTATAATTTTTGCAATAGCCACTGTTTTTTTTGGTGTTTTGAGAAACTCTTTTGCATAGTCGTCTGCCTTCTATAATGTAAACAAGAACTTAATTTACACAATTGAAACAATTTCCTGATTCCAATTTCCCAAACGTGTACCAATATTAAAAACAAAATAAAATAATTCCTCTTCTCATCCCTGAGAGCATGTTCCTGAGAACAGACAACAGAAAACCCCAACAAACAAGCCCTATGAAGTCCAAGTCTGCAAACTTACGCTCAGTACAGCCAAAAAGATAAACTTTCTCCCCATGGAGCTTTCCTCCTTCTTCAAATGCATCCTGGCCAAGAATTAAACAGGATATTTACCACTTATCAGTCTGGTTGATTCTTTAAACCAATGAACACTAAAGAAAAATAAAATAGACGAAACAGCAAAATGAAAATGAAAACATAAAAAGCAATGATGTTCTTGAAACTCACTTCCAGATTTGAGAAGTCCCACTTGAATTGGTAGAGTGAGTCCAATTGATCCCACTGACAGGAAAACATGTACATACATCAGGAACAGAACTTACTTGACTATACAGACAGAGAAGCAACATACATGAATAAACAAAATTAGAGTGTTAATCAAACCTCTGTTCCAACAGGGAATGCCACCTTCCATAAATCTTCCTACAAAACATATGATTGGCAAATTTAAATCAGGTAAAACTGAACATAGTCAATTGAAAATCATTTCCAACCACCACCCCACCCACACTCACACTCGAGAATGTGCAGGTATGTACAGGCATAATACAGAGAAAGCAGCACTACCACTGCATATTCTAATGAAAATTTGCAAACAAAATTTACTTATGTTCAATTATTAATTGTAAGTTCATATTTACCGGGTCCATATTGTTAAAGGGATGCGTTATTATAACATCTAACAAGGCACTTGTTGCATAAGACATGATACCAGTAACATCAACGCCAATTAGTGATAAAGGTCATTGAATTTAACTAATACAAAATCATACTTCACAAGCAAAAAATTCTTTTTCCTTTGATTTTATACTTCCAAAACCTAACTAAGCCTCTCAACAGTTTACACTTCCTATTCTTTTTCACTATCTTCATGCATAAAGTACAGCAAAAACGCTAACTCACAACTTCGTTTCGGAAAAAAAAAAAAAAAAACTCACATTTGTAACACTAATCAACTCAATGTTGAAACAGGCCTATCCCTTCACCCAAGTTCAAAAACCGCAAATCATTTACCAGCTCCTAAATTTTCTCAGCACCCAAACAGAAACCTCCAAAAATTGTAAAAAAGAAAAAAAAAAAACAAAGATTCTCCAAAATGAACACAACAAAAAACACGTTATCCTTTCTGCATCCTGCAACATTACCAGTCCAGTACCACACAGTACTCCGCCAAACCACAAGCTCAAAAGAACCAATACCAGCACATGTTCGATATGAAAAAGCAGACATTAACATTTTGCAACACTAATCAACTCAATGGAAACAGACCTATTCCTTCACCTAAGTACACAAGTTCAAAAACCTAAAATCACTTTCCACCTAAATTTTCTCAGCAACCAAACACAAACCTCTAAAATTTTACAAAAAAACAAAAAGTGTCCCAAACGAACACAACCAAAAGCGCATTCCGCATCTGTTAATATAACAAGTCCAGTACCACAAACTACTCCGCCAAACCACGTGCTCAATATGAAACAGCAGAAATTGACATTTACTACCTTCAACTAAGTACACAAGTCAAAAACTCAAATCACTTTCCACCTCCAAAATTTTCTCAGCAACCAAACAGAAACCGCTAAAAATCGCTACAAAAAACAAAAAGTCTCCAAAACGAACACAACCAATAACACATTATCCTTTCCACATCTGGTAACATTACCAGTTCAGCACCACACAGTACTCCGCCAAACCACGAACTCAAAAGAATCAATATCCGCACGTGCTCAATACGAAAAAAGCAGAAATTAATAAACAAGAGGAAGAAACATTCATATTACCAAGCTGCGCTGATCTTCGAAGTACTCCGGCTCGGCTTCCGGCTTGGCGGCCTTGACGCGCTTGGCTCGAGGAGCTTTGGTGTTCTGCTGCTTCGGCTGCTGCTGCTCCTCCTTGTGGTTGTCCTGCGAAGAAGACGAAGCTTTGGAGGCGTCGGCGCCATCTTTGGTGGCGGCCTTTCGCTTAGCGCCCTTCCTCATTGTCGTTGCTATGAAGCTGAGAGTTCTAGAGAGAGAGATAGGGTTTGGGTCCTTGGGATTTGGATTTGGATCGGAGTGACAGAATTTGAATTTTAGAGAGAGAGAGAAACGAAGAGAGAGTTTTGAATGTAGGTTTATATAGGGATTTTAATTTTCGACGTGAATTTCACGCGGATTGTCTCGGTTTGAAAACGAGAGGAGTGTGTATATTTTTGTGCGGAGAATAAATATCACAAGGCCCATAATATATTACAAAGCTTCCAAAGTCCCCCTCACGGCACAGTCAAGTCATGGGGAGGCAAGTACGATTGTGTTTGTTTTAATATTTTTACACTATCATATCCGTATCCTACCTAAAATACACATTTGTTTTCTTATTATAAAAATTCTATTCTATTTTATTCAATTTTTTAAACCTCCTAAGTTTATTAATTTAACTAAATACCCCCAAAAAAGTTTAATAACAAAAACACCCCTATCCACCCACAGTTGCCAAATTTCGGCCACCACCGTCAGAAAGTGCCTAGAATCTAGTATAATGGCGTACCACTGGCTGGATCTGGTCGATAGTGCACCAATCTAGCCTTTTTCGACCAGATCTACGGCCAAAGATCTAGTCGTAGCTAGTCTTCAACGACGGCCATATCTTTGGCCGTAGTTGACGACCAAACGCAGCAAGATCTGACCATCAACAGTCAAATCTAGCCATAGATCTGGCATTTTCCAACATCCACGGTGGATCTAGCTGGAAAACACCGTATCAACGTACCACAAGCCAAATCTAACCAATTGTGCGCCGATACGTTGATTCCAGCCACCCTCCAGCGGTGGTGGCTAGCTGCCAATATTGAATGGGTGAGTGGGAGTATTTTTGTTAATTTTTAATATTTTATTACAAGAGTGTTTAGAAATTAACAAACTTATGGGGTGGTTTTATAATTTTTAAATCTTACCTCGTAATAACTACTCAACTCTTACTTTTTCAAAAATCATATCCAAATACTACAATACGCACCCGAGAACTACTGAGAGACAGATCACAGATGTCTGTAAATTGTTTCGGATAACCTCCAGAGATCCCTGAAGTTTCCTGATGCTTTATAAAAACCCAAATGCAGTGGCAACCTTATCCCTCACATATTTTTGCTAAATTCATGACCTTACCTGCCCTTTGCTCATCGATTATGGTAAAGACGTAAAGGGGACTTGAGTGATGATTTTGGAAAACGTGAGGGAAATGTTTGTAATTATCTATAAATTTTTATTTCAGGCTTTTCATGCTATATATTTATATTAAAAGATTTTTTGATGAATTTTCAATCGATTTTGAGAAATTTTAGAAAGATAATTTTAGTGCAAAAATAAATTTATGAAAGCTTTTTTTATTCAAAATCAAAGGAAGTAAACCTTATCATTGTACTTATTTAATTGCCACTATTTATTTATTGGAAGAGTCGTAAGTGGTATATTATCGACAACAGTTAGATAAGTCATATTTTAGAGTTTTACAATCTGTTTTTCATAATAAAGGTAGATTAACTAAACAATTTTATGAAAATTTTAATGTATGGTTCTTGTTCATTTTAAGGTGAAATTCACTAACTTCCTATATAAGTTCACATAACTTTCGGCACAAAAATTAAATTTGTTGAGAAATTATTTAAAAAATAATAAAACATGGGCTTGACAAGGTGGGCCACTTAAGGGCTCCCTTTAATGTTATTAAGTCATTGGGCCACAGAAGATAATTGTTGGCCATAAATATATTTTTTGGGCTTTGAGGAGCCCAAGCCAGGCCCATTTTCCAATGACGAAGGCTGTAGTCCAAGCCCCAAACCAGTTTATTTTTTTATTACAATTATATCCTTGTAGCAGGTGCAAATAAACGGCGGTCGAATAACATTAGTGTTAGAAAAAAAATAATCAAAATTACAAAGTGATTATGTACCGAAATTATGACATTAAGAAAGGAACGGGAATTATGCAAAAAAATAAAAATAAAAAAATAATAAATATATATATGCATGTTAGATGAGAAATTGTTATTTAACAATTTCTCATCTAACATATATATATTCAAACAATTTTTAGATGAGAAATTGTTTCAATTAACATGCATGAAAACCTAATAAACTCTCTCATAATTTTGATTCTATATTTTTAGCAATTTGAAAGTGGAGTGCAATTTAGTACTTGAACTAGCTATAATTAATTAAACCCTTAAATATTTTCTAATATTAAAACTTTGTCCTATTTTTCTTAATAAAATTCTCCATAGCCCACATTGACTTTCATATCTAGGGGTGGGCAAAATTTTAGGGTAGAACCGGAATCGACAGGTACCTGGGTGTCGGTTCCTGTTCCTATCTAGAACCGGTCGTAACAGGGTAGGTTATGGTTCCAAAAAATTAGAACTGATACTATGCGATTCCGGTTCAGGTTCCAAATCAAAGGAATCGAAACTGGGACTAAATTGATATAATATTAAAGAATAGGGGTTTCTTAATATTTTGCATATGGGATTTTGCATATCATATAAATATATAAGAAAATTTTGGTTTTTTTATCTTAGTATCAAAAGTCTTATTAATTTTCATTAAAAGATCAGTTTTTCAAAATATTCTTATTAATATTAAGTTTCACTTATTACTTATTAAAAAATTAAATAATAGCTTTTAAATGTTTATTATCGGTGAAAACAAACAATTAAATACTTATAATCAAGCATCAAACATCAAGTAAATATAAACAAATATATTATTTAATGTTTTGCACTTAATTGTTTGGGGTGTAATTGTAATTTTATTAGGGTTTATTTGTNTTTTAAATTTTACCTCGTAATACTCCCATATTCAATTATCCAATACTATTCCCAAAATAATAAACCAACCGCACCCATTATTGTTTTTTCCTATGTACGGCTTTGATCTCCTAAAAAAAAAATTTGTAATTCTCCCCTTGGGCTTCGAGTCTCGTATAAAATTCTTGTTTAGACAATTCAATAATGGGAGAAAGCTTTTAACTAATAAATCGATCTTCAAAATCAGTCTATCCTGGATTGTTTTCTTTATCAAAACATCAGATTTCTAAATTTTTATAAAAGCCCCCAAAAATTCTTACCAAAGCTTGTTGAATATTTTATATGTCAGTAGACATGTAAATGACGTGATATATTTATCTCACCTAATATTTTATCTGGATTTATGCATAAATGTGATGTTGCTATTAATGCACACATAGTCTCTTTTGTTCCTTTGAATAGAATCATGAATGGAATTGAGAACACTAATTTGATGTCTTATTAAGAGATAATTAATAAATTAACAGGAGAATTAATTAAATTTAAAGGGGTGGTTAAGTCGGCTGAGTTTGAATATATATAGTGTTGAGTCATGAATGGATGTACATTAAAAATATGTATGCATGCACATGTACCCATGTGAACCATAGCTAACTAGTCAAATACAAAAAAAAAAAAAAAAAAAAAATTGGCCGTCGTTTTGGCCTTTTTCGGCCATCGACGGCCACGGCACGTCGCAGATCTGGCATTTTTCGATCAAATCCGTGGTGGATCTGGCTGGAAAAGACTATAACGACGCGTTACGACACAGATCTGACCGGTCAGTGTCGTAATGCGATTTTTCGGTCAGATTCTGGTGGTGGTGGCCGAAATCTGGCACTGTAGGTGGTGGGGATATCTTTGTCATTTTACATGTTGGGGGTATTTATTAAATTAGCAAACTTAGGGAGTTTTTTTTATAAATTTTTAAATTTTACCTTGTAATACTCCCATATTCAATTATCCAATACTATTCCCAAAATAATAAACCAAACGCATCCATTATTGTTTTTTCCTATGTATGGTTTTGTGAATCAACATATCATTATTGATCGAATATTGTAAATAATTTTATAATGTGAATACCTTAATGTATGATTCAAAAATAAATAGATAGATACTAATATTAAATAATTAAGTCCTAAATATTCCAAAAAAAGGAATTAATTAAGTTAAGAGAGGCCCCAACATAATAATATTTAAATTTTGACAAACATTAAATACAAAAAGAAGGTAGTTATACCTTATTTATGATACATTTGAATGATACTTGTGATTAATCTTAAGAATATTCTCAAAATCATTAAAAACATTGAATTATTGAAACATAATCTACCATGAGAAAGGATTTGATTTTGAAGTATCCAAGGACAATTTATACAATATCAATCCAAAAGCTTATATAATGAATTAAAAATTTATAATGTTTAATTAAATAGGGTTTATTTCATTTACCCTTTATGAGATCGATTGTTATAAAATATATCTATAATTATAAAGAAATATTATATATATTCTATTTATAAATTATCAAAAAACCAATAAAAATCCCAAAGAAAATATTGAAAACTCGACCTCCTCATAATATTAAATTATTTTATAGAGATATATGAAAAAAAAGACCCGATTAAATAAATAAATATGTTTTAGGAAACAACCAAGTAGAGACAAAATTAACACATATAATTGAGTTGGCCCTAGGCATTAGTGGACAAATAAAACCCTAAAACCTAATCTGTTTCTTAATGAGAGAATAATTGTGTTTAGTGTTGACTTAATTACGCTTAATAATTCATTAATTCTTCAGTGATTCCAGCAAAATTTTCTGACAAGCAATGATAAAATTTTCCAGGTTTTTGGACCCATGTCAGAGATTTTATATTGATCGTCTCAATCCTTAAAAAGAGAAGAATTTAACTATATAATAAAACTTAATGTAACTTTAATTAATTAATTAACAATATATCTTTATTATGTTGGACGGTCTTATCACATCAATAAAGTAAGACAATAACTGTTCTACATAAAGTATTTTTATACAATCAGCTTACATGTTCTTTCCAGTAACCAATAGTAAACCCTTATTAGTTTGTTTAATTACTAAAATACTCTTCAAGCTTTCACTAGCTGCATGTTGCAGCCAGCCAGGCTTATATTATATAATATTTATTAAAAAAAATATATTAATTTTGTCTTACACTACAAGATTCTCAAATATATTCACACTCCAGTCCCCTTCAAACCAAACTAACATGGACAGACTCAAAGGATCCAACAGCCCCATCAGAAAAATGAAAACAAATCTCAATCTCTGCCTTCCACGCCTCCAAAGATTCAACACCACCACCTCCTCATCCTCTTCCTCCGCCACCTCCGCCGCCTCCCGACCCTCCAAACCCCTCACTCCCATGACCCTCCTTGAGCGTTTTCGTGAAGCGGTGTTTCGTCTGATCATGCTCTCCGCGCTTTCAAAAGTTCAAAACAATCCAACAACGACAGCAGCAACAACAGCAAGGACAAGGGCAAGGACAACGTGTTCGTTATCGTCTTCTTCCTCGATATCTCACGCGTCACAGTCGTATTATTACAACCCGGCGGATCCCCACCACAGCGAGGCCGTCGCCGACTGCATTGAGTTCATCAAGAGGAAGGCCTTCAGTGATCAAGATGATGATGATCAGAGCCGTGAATCGAGTGCCAGTATCAGCTCCAATATTACTATTGTACACGATGCAGCTGCTGCAGCCACCGAGATTATATGATTTTCATTTTTATGATTTTTTTTTTTTTCAGTTTATTAATAGATTTAAGATATTGGTGAGGGGCTGTGGATGTGATAATTTCAAGTTCAGGTGTGAGATATATATTTAGATTTGTAAAATAGTTTAATTATGTGTATCAAACTTACAATCAATTTTACATTTTATATGTTATAAATTTTATTTTGGATAGAAAAAAAAAAAATTGTGGTTAAAATATTATTTATTTTTATTATTTTAAATAAATTGTGACAATAATTAGTTTGATTCTACAATATGGACAGGGGTGGATCCAAATATATCTGATATTATGGACCAAAATAAAAACTAATTACATATTAATATTTTTGTCTTTTAATATTTCTGTTAGGGTGGGTAAAATCCAGAAATTATACATATTAATAGCTTTTTTTTTTTTTTTTTTTTTAAATTTGAGGGTGGGCCACTAGGGTAGCATCCGCCCCTAATGTAGAGGTAACGTTACTTGAAACCAGGTAATCAGGTGAGGCGATAGAGACTCTTGGGTGTATTACTTAAGAGGTAATGAGTTCGATTCTCTTCGGTTGTGAATAAGGGTGGTCACTGAAGGTTTTATTTGATCGTTAACTTCAGAGTTTCAGGAGATTAATCGAAATATGCGTAAATTGACTCGGAGTCGGACACACCCAGTCACCGAAAGAAAAAAAAAAGAGTGATCCAAGGGCCAATTATGGGAGTGTAACGTTACTACTAATAATATAATTTTTCCAATTATTAAATCGCAAAAGGATATATAATTTGTTTAAACTGAATTTATCTTAATAATACTCACCCAATTTCACATTCTTGATCAGTTCATAATCTCATTTATTTGACTGGAGAGAAAGTGATAAAAGTAAAATCAGGACATAAAATAATGCAAATCCACTTGTTTCTTGTTTGTTTGTAAGCTCTGCACTCTTAAATTTTTATACATATTAACACGGACTTGAGCCAACAAAATTAAAATTAGGTTATAATTTTTGTATAATCAAAATCACATGTGTATTTGGGCACGAGTAATACTAGCTAGCCTTACAAAGATGCATACAAAGAGACATACAAAGAGTCAAATTCAGCGTTTAAAATTCATGATTCTCTCTCTCTCTCTCTCTCTCTCTCTCTTTCCCTTTTTTAAGGGCTGAATTTGACTCTTTGTATGCCCCTTTGTAAGGCTAGTATTACTCATTTGGGCACGGTCATTTCTGATTTTTTGAATGTACCCATAGCGCAAGGCATTAAAAAAAGGGAAAAAAATAATTTTTTTTCGATGCCTCGGCCTTTTGCATTGTGTGTGGAGTCTTTTCCTCTTTCGAGTCGAGGGCATGTGGCTGTTGGGTTTTTGTCGCCTATTTAAGCATTGTCTTATGGGTTTCTTTGGTTTTGTTCTTAACCCAGGATATGTCTCGAGACGGAAAGAGTGTATTGTGAACATATATAGTGTATAGGCTATTTTTTTGGGTTCTAACCTAGAGAACAATAACGCTATGGACATCAACATTTTTACACCGAAATCGTGTACTAACCTACGTGTCCCCTGACTCACACTAGCAATCCAAACACGTTTCACGTTAATAATTTTTTTTTCTAGTGAACGACCGTTCATCAAATATGGACGGTCGTTCACTTACATGGACTCTCGTCCATATTATATGGACGGGGGTCCATTTACTACGGACGGGCGTCTCCATTTAAAGGACGCCCGTCCATCAGTAAAATAGAATAATTTTTTTTTTTTTTTATAAAAATTAGGGACGACCGTTCATAGGTTATGGACGGCTGTCCCTAAATATTGGACAGACGTTCATATTTTAATGGACGCCCGTCCATTAACAATTCTTTTTAAAAAATTAAAAAACATTTAGGGACGACTGTTCATCCATTATGGACGGCCGTCTCTTCATTTTGGATGGGCGCCCGCAAATAAGGGATGGCCGTCCTTAATCTAAATATGAAAATAAAAAAAAATAAAAAAACTTTGGGGACGCCCGTCCATAAATTGTGGATGACCGTCCCTTATGTTTGGACGGACGTCCGTAAGGAATGGACGCCCGTCCATTATTTTGGTTTTAAAAAATAAAAGAAAAACTTTGGATGACTGTCCATAAATTGTGGACAGCCGTCCTTTTAAGTGTGGACGGGCGTCCGTTTTGGGTAGTGCACGGTCACCCTGCTCAGCCATAAATGGTTGAATCTTACTCTTCTTCGAACCCTCCGGAAACAAAAGTGAACACAAACAGCTCAGTAGCAATAGAGGTTGCGATAGCACGAGACTTTTTCGGCCATCCTCTTTGGGCTTTTCAGAAGACGGTTGAGTGGAGAGAGATTTGGAAAGTGAAACTTTATGCAATCTGCCATACGGTGGAGATGGTTTCGCGAATGGGCATTCAGAACCTTTGGGTAGAGTCTAACTCATTATATGCAGTCAAGATGATTAACTCCCAATGCAAGCCCTACCAACCTCATTTGAAACAACATCAAGCTTCTTCTGGTCCTCCCCCTGAACGTTGACAGCACCTTGAATGCCAGTCAAGTTGGAAATGCTGGCTATCTGAACCAAAGAAGCTATCTGCTTACAAGCTGTAGAGATGCTTGAAAGCACAATAGTGAGCTCTACATCAATAGCTTGTTCCTGCTTCAACAACCAGTTTGTGAGTGTTTGAATCTCAAACACACTTTTCTTCTTGGTTTCAACCTCTGACGCCGTCCCTACAGCCATGCACTTGACATCGGCACCAACATGTCTTCTCTTGACATTAACGTTGTTGCAGTTACTGGGACATGAGACAAGTGTTTTGGTATCAAACCCACACAGTTGATAAGGAGAGAGATGAGATAGAGAACCAGAGCTTGATAAAAGAAGTTGTGAAGAAGATGTAGCTGAAGTTGAAATTTTAAAATTTTTACAGCGATATGGACGCCATTCAAAGACGCTGAGGAAGCATTCAAAAAGACTGTAGAGTTGGATAGGCTGATTGATATGCTCAGAGATGCAAATCCCAAAGAATTGGGCTGAGCACTTAGGCAAGTTGAAGCTCCGAAACAAGAGCTTGGTTCAGTCTTGGTGCAGAAGGACGAGTCAATCTTGTTGCAAAAGGAGGTTAAATTATCAAAAGCGAAGAAGAAGCAAGCTGAATTGGAAACAAGAGCTCGGAGTATGTGCTTTTTGGACATTCGTCCTTATAATTTGGACGACCATCCATGTTAACTGGACGCGAGTCCATTGCATTTGGACGAGCATCCATTGTTTTTAATTTTTATATTTATATTATGTACAGACGTTCTTTATTTGCGGACATCCGTCCCAAATTAAGGGACGGCTGTTCGTAACTAATGATTCTTAGATGTTTTTTAATTTTTAAAAAAGAATTGTTAATGGACGGGTGTCCATTAAAATATGAACGCCCGTCCAATATTTAGGGACAATCGTCTATAACCTATGAACGATTGTCCTTAATTTTTTTATAATTTTTATTTCATTTACTGATCGTAGTAGATGGATCCCCGTCTATATAATATGGATAAGAGTCCATATAAGTGAACGGTCGTCCATATTTGATGAATGACTATTCACTAGAAAAAAATTTAATAACATAAAATGTGTCTGGATTGCTGGTGTGAGTCAAGAAACATGTAGGCTGGTACAAAATTTTGATATAAAAACCCCGGTGTCTGCTGCATTCTTGCCTAGAGAATTGTCTGCATTGCCTTTTTCTGGTTTTTTGTATATTCTTTTTCATTTTATTGATAAAAGCTTACTTATATAATAATAAAAAAAAAATAAAATTCACATGTATATTGAATGATACTGCCTACCAAATACATGCTCTTGACACGTGTTGTAATTATAAAAGTAGATAATATTTTAATAAATTAAAATTAATAATTTATTCTTCTGGGACACGTATGACTGAGTTATGCAGTGATTGTTCCAGGTGTGACTGTCATTAGCATACACGCATTTGAAGTAATAAAGCCATTAGCTATATTTTGTGACTTCTCCAAATGAAAAAAGCATAACCCTCAAATGGGTTTTACTTTTACAATATATGTGCTTAATTTGATTAGTTTCTTTATATGCTAGCTTATAAATATTGGTGTTACGAGAGCAATTATATGCTATTACACATGAAATTTCACAACCAACAGCGCTTATGAGAACGACACAGGAACATGATCTTGTAGGACACTTCTTGCTTCTAATGTCACTCTCCATGATGGAATATGCTTTCTAATTTTTTTTTTAATCCTATAAGACGCCTCAAATTTGTTTAATAGAGACTTTGTGCTCTTGCATCTATAATGTGTGTGAAGAGCAATTATGCTTGTGGTTTGCTTTCCCAAAGTTTGGGTTTTAAGTCTTATCAAAAACTTCAATTTTAAATAGTAGGTTCTATGGATGCTTAGGGGTGACCAAATTTTTAGGGTTGAACAAGGGTGTCGATTCTAGTTCCAAATTTGATGGAATCGGCATTGTGCGGGTCGAGGTCTAATTCCAACAATCGAGGAATCTGATTCGAGAATCGAAACCGGAATCGAGGTCCAAGTACCCGTCGGTTCCACCAATGGGTGCCCCCGGTGGAACCGACGTGTACTTGGGGTGTATTTGTAATTTTTGCAAATAGTTGGGGCTGTGTTTGTAAGTTTTTCAGGGTATGTCTATCATTTTTGCGAATGTAAGGGGTGTATTTGTAATTTTTTGTGACCACTGTTGGGTACGCGGACCTAGACTCAGAATCGAAACTCATGGTACAGATAGTGTTCTGAAAACCGGACAGGATCGGCCAGTTGGACCAGTTTGACCAGGAATTGGCGTCATCTATGGTCCAATTTCCCTTGAAAAGCCGGTATCCTTAATCAAAATGGATTGAGTCATAGTTGGACGTCGGAATAGTGTCAAATTACGGTCCAATTGTGAGTCAATCCCGCTAGATTCTAGCATCGTTCAAGGGAGATAACAACACCATAAGACTTGGCAGCACCTCCACAACAAAACCCATCCATTTTCAGTGGCCACCATCTAGCCTTTCGTCGCTCGCTGTCCACCTATTGTTCAAGCGACCGTCGGCCTT